CACACACACACACACACACACACACACCCACACACACACACACACAGAGTCTTTTCAAAGAACAAGCCATATAATTAGACTAGTTATAATTAGACTGCATTCTTTGTAACCCTCTGACAACATCAGTCCATTCCACAATTCCATCTGAAAGACATAAGCAGGCTAACCGTGCATATTAAAATCCTCGAGTGTGGATTCATCATGCAGCTTTATCATTTCACTCCCAAATGTTAACTACACTCAATCTACTGTCAACCCAAAAACGATTTAGCGCCAGCCCTTTTTAAACAGAACAATGAGTAAATTTAATCCGAGCGCTGCCTCAGTTTTCTGCTCGATCCTCAGCTGTGATGGGGTGGAGAGAAGTGGGAGCCAAAGTGGGAGCCAGGAGAGGAGAGGCAGGGCGTGAGGAGGAGAAGGTGTGGAGAGTGCAGACAGGAGAACTCCAGAAGGCTCAGAGATAAGACCTGCAGCTTTATCTTCCTATAAACACACACATGTTCAGCTCTGCGTGAGGCCAGATGGAGTCAGACAATAAACAGAGCAATACAGAACATTGAGAGTACACTATGTTATCTGCTCGGGGTTGTTGGAACCTCTTTCAGATCTGATGAATAAATAAAATAAAATGCAGCAGATCCTTTAAAGATTGCAGGAACGTTTATCCACAGTGGTGTTCAGAGCTGGTGTAATGAAACTAGCTGAAATTTACAATTTGTCTCCTGTGAGTGGACAACCTGCAGGGCACTTTTTAAGGCCTTTTTGATTGCTTACAGTTAGAGCTAATAACTGGGATTATTACTGTATTGTGAAGTTYGTGGGATTTTACTAAGATTTTTAAGGAAGTTTAAAAACACATTTGCAAAGAGTTTGTGTGYACTTCTAGTTAAAATGCTGCGAGTAATAATCATAAAAGCAACATTCTAGTTGTGTCACRGGTGATAAAGTGTGGCTACTTTATGCAACACTAGGTAAACACTTGAGGATCTGATGGTGAAATCTAAAAATTAATGAGCCTAACAACTATTTATATTGACA